GTTCGCGGTTTTTTTTTTTTTTTTTTTTTTGCTTTTTACACTGGTACAGGACTGCAGTTCGTCTTTGTTTATTCATCGCTGTCTGTTTTGAGGTAACATTCACTTCGCCATTGATCATTTTTGTGCTAGTTTTCATCAGCATCATTGGAATTTCATGTTTCACATCCATAAGATAGTAGTGTAGAAAGTTCTATTTTTATACGAGGCGGTATTTTGTTTGACTGTGATTTCATGAAAATTGGCTCAAAAAGCTATATACCTTCTGTATTTCGGTTTGAAACCGTAGCCTGTAGTGCCACTTTTAGAGCAACGCACGCTGCAGCAGGTGATACGACAAATCGGCGCGGCGTCACAATGGAAGCCGCACAAGGACCAACCGTAATACCGTCCCAGGATACACTGATCGCGGATCTTTTATCACTCGATTTATCTGCTCCAAGTACTGGCGTCCCTACGCACGGTAAGCTAGTTTTCCTTTTTTTCCGTTATTCGCGGGTCATAAATTTTGCGACATATTTCATAATATTTATCCGAAAGACCCCTCCCCGTTCCTGTATTCATCCTCCACTAGAGGTAAGAAGTACTGTGAAGTAGTCCGAATAGTAGCACGCTCTAACCAATGGTCACCACTTAGCAGTGATGTTGATGGTTCATCTTCTCGGAGACTGTTTAGAAGCAAGCTGACGGCGAGTTTGATTTCGTGATATGCGTGTTTGATTCCCTATTTTTTTGTCAACTTTGATATGGCTTAAATTTTTTGTTTGTGACTATTTATCAAAATGCTTCATGCTCAAAAATTTGCTCCGCTTTCACACTCAGCATAATCCGTTCTCTGCAAATTCCTTTATACCGTCCTCTTCCTCATGATTCCTCGGTACTTCCGGCCAAAAGTCTTGAATTTTTGTGTTTTTTGATCCATTTTTTCATTCAGGAGTTTCCTCTTTTCTCACACGGATAAGTAAGGCACGAAGGTGAAAGAATGGGGAAAAAAATTGGAACTGTATAGATTTGCTTAAGCTTTTCACTCAGAAAGACTAAATGGGCTCTGTATCATACTTTTTTGACAGCAGTATCAATTCCAGCTGAACAACAGCCTTTACTTTCACTACCAAAATTGTCAATATCGCTTGGGCAGTCCATGTGGATATTCGATTTTTCATATCTGCTGCCCAGATCACGGCTGATCAAAGTTTCCTGACTCCGCTCGGTATACAGCGATTGCTGAATTTGTAGAACTGCATGTGTAGAGGCTTCCCGAACAGTCGTTTCTCCTATTTTGATCAAACGGGAAAGAAATTGGAGTGTGTATGAATTTTCCAATACTTTCAGGTCTGGGCATGGATTCATATCAGCCAGCACCAATGTCTTCCGGTCTTGATGATTTGTTAGGCCTTGGATCAGATGGACTGCTTGGCGATGTTGGTGGAACAACTTCACCTCCTACCATACAGCAAACTCAAACACCGGCTCCCCCCACAAATGCTCCAGGAATTTTCGCTACCCACACGATAGCACCTCCTCCTCCAACTGTTCCATCTGTTGGACAGGTCTGTTTTGCTTGGATTGGATTGCCGGGTTTCTGTAAAGTCTGAGCTGTGATTCCAGTATCGGTAGGGAGCTTGATGCATTGATTGCATTATCGTGTAAATTAGAATTCGAATCAAGATTTTCTCAGTTTAGACTCTACTGTCAACTGATGTGCCACCGCCGGCTCCAACAACCACTTCTGCTTCCAATCCATTCACCAGTCTGGGTGACCTCTTTGCTGGACCGACACTAGGAGCCTCATCCGCTTTGTCCGGGCAAACAGGATATGTCGCCCCAAAAGAAGTAAGTTTTTATGCGTTTTTTTTTT